TTTGCGAAGCGTATTATCAGCGTAGGATTGATCTTCTTCAGGGTCTCGTAGTCCATCTCAAGACGCTCAGCCACGCCTTGCGAAGTTCTGTCATCCGGCCGTCCGCGCCCGCGACAGCTTGTGCGCGATCTCGCGTCCCTCCGCTGTCTTGAGATTGATCGCGATGCCGCGCTTGCTCCGGTTGCAGGTCTCGAAGTAGGCGTTCCTGCCCGCGGGCAGACCAGCATCTGAGGACTCCATACGTGCCACCGCCCTGCCGACGTCCCCGTCGAGCGCTTCGATCTTTATCACGTCGGCGCCCATGTCACCCATCATCGATAGGCCGCCACAGGCCCGAACTGCCACATCGTCCAGTCCAGGACTCTCATTCCCGTTAAAGGGCCTGCCTCGGACTTGATCCGGGGTCCCACCGCTGCGTTCGATCCGTTAACCACCGTCTCACCTCGCGTCTATTGCATGAGCGCATGTATCCAACTGTCGCCGCCAGTCTATCACCGCAGGCTGTCGTACCAGTCTATAATGCGGATTGAATCAATGGAATCATCGTCAAGGAGGGCCTCATGGGCAGGCTGGAAGGCAAGGTAGCGATCATAACGGGCGGCGCAAAGGGACAGGGCGCTGCCGAAGTCGAGCTCTTCGCGTCCGAGGGAGCAACGGTCATCTTCGGGATATCCTGGACGACGAGGGCAAGAAGGTCGAGGCGCGAGTCTCCGAGCTTGGAGGTGTGGCCGAGTACGTGCACCTCGACGTCACCAGCGACGACGACTGGCAGCAGGCCATTGAGCTGGCCGAGAGCAAGTACGGCAAGGTGGACATCCTGGTCAACAACGCTGGCATCTCCATGAGGCACGAGGCCATGGATGTCTCCAACGAGGACTGGGACATCGTCATGGACGTCAACGCCAAGGGCGTGTTCCTCGGCACTCGCTACGTGATCCCGGCGATGCAGCGCGCCGGCGGCGGCTCGATAGTCAACATCTCGTCCATAGCGGGCATTCTGGGGCGACCGCTGGCATCTCCGGCGTACGCTGCCTCCAAGGGTGCCGTGCGCGTCTTCACCAAGAACACGGCTGGACGTTTCGCGTCGGACGGAATCAGGGCCAACTCTATCCACCCGGGCCCAATCGACACAGACATGATCCGCGCCGCAACCAACACCGTCCGCCCAGAGACGCGCGTGGGCGAGATCCCGATGGGTCGCCTTGGACAGGCGGACGACATCGCCTCGGCGGCTCATATCACTCGTTATCTCTCGCGTCAGACGAGCAGTCTGTCCTAACGGCGACAGTAGCTGGTGATAGACGCGTAATGCGTAGTCCGGCATCAGCCGTAGCTGCGGGAAGCGCGAGACTTAGAAACACTCGTCTACCAGATGTGCAAACCCCGCGGAGCGTAGGCGAGACCGAGCGTGTCGCCTCGCCATCGTCGCGAACACGAGACCCCGTCTAAACCGGTCGCAAAAAACCCTCTTGCCAAGTGCAGCACCTCTAATCGTGCTCGCGCGTCGCATCGCCAGTACTCGTTCACGCCGTGCCTCGCGTACAGTGCCCGCTTCAGCGTCCTGTCCCGCGCTGCGGTCGATGGAGATAGTATCTCGACGACGAGGTCTGGACCTCCCCAGACCTCGGCCTCGGTGTCGATGTGCATCCTCTCGTTCGAGATGAACATCAAGTCCGGCTGCACGATGTAAGTGTCGGAAAAGACCACATCGCGCGGTGCGAAGTATACGACGCCAAGAGCATTGCTCCGAACGAAGTGATGAATAGGCGATCCGAGATTTGCCTGAACTCTCTGGTGGTCTCTTCGCGGCGCTGGCGCCAAAATCAGCTCTTCATCGATCAGCTCGTAGCGCTTGTCATCGGGCGTGTTTATGTAGTCTTGGTAGGTGAACTTGATCGCGGGATTTGGGCTGGTCATGCTCGCGCTCCTGTAGTCACAGAGTAACACACCGGACCGCAATCTCAGATGCGGTACAGGAGCTCGGTGTTGCCTGAGAACATTGCGCGCCGCTCGTCCTCAGAGAAGTCGCGGGTGATCTCGTCGTAGGCGCTGACGATGGTGTCGTAGCCGCTCCACAGGCTGTCCACCGGCCAGTTGGTGGCGAACAGGCTACGCTCGACGCCGAACGTCTCGATGCAGTGCAGCACGTACGGCCTGATGGTCTCGACAGTCCAGTTGTGGTCGCCCATCCCCAGGCCGGAGATCTTGCAGATGATGTTCTCCGCCTCCGCGGCGGTCTGCATCCCCTGCTTCCAGTGGTTGAAGTACTCCTGTGTGCGCTCCATCGGGCCGCCAGCGTGGTCAATGACTATGATGGTGTTCGGGAACACCGCAGCCAGGTTGCGCAGCTTCTCCATATCCTGCCACTGTGCTGCAATACTGGCGACCAGGTCATACCTCTCAAGCAGCGCGTAGCCCCTTTGGAAGTCGGGCTCGACCAGGTAGTCGCCGTACGAGAAGTCGCGTACACCCTTCATGTTCGCGAACTCGCAGTGACGTTCGAGTACAGCCTCGACGCCCGGATCGCGCAGGTCGGCATAGGCGACGATCGCGTGCGGGAAGCCGGTCCTGTCAGCCGCTTTCTGGAGCCACTCCGTCTCCTTGACCGGGTCGGGCGAGCCAATCGCCGCCTGCACATGCACCGCTTTAGTGACGTTCGAGTCGCGAGATACGGCGATGAAGTCTTCAGCGAGCCAGTTTCGCTCGGCCAGCTTCCTGGTCTGCGCCCCGAGGACCGGGTGATCAACGTCCGGCTGCCAGTGAGCGTAGAAGAGCTCGGGGTGACCCATGTCGTAGAAATGGACGTGTGCGTCGACGAATTCCGGCTTTGTCATGCGTAGCTCCCAGGCTCAGAGTGTGGCGATTATAAGCTCAGGCTAATCGGTGTCTCAACCGTTTTTTATGGATATTACAGACCACAGCCCCGGCAAGTGAGAAAATTCACTTACCCAACGCAAAAAATTGACTGAAAATTCCGGACAAATGCGAGCAAAAATATGAGAATTTGACCATTTTGAGGAGTATAATTCGAGCGTGCCAGAATGGCCTGAACTGCTATCGACAATTGCCGATGCTTACGAACGTTTTGTGATGCCGCTTTTGTGATTGTGACTAGGAGGCCTATACATGGCGAACGATCACCTGTCGTTGATGGCACACCTTATGCGAAGGGCCGGATTCGGAGCGACCCGGGAAGAACTTGAGCGTCGCCTCGCCTCGGATTACGAGGCGACTGTCGAGGACCTTCTCCACCCGGAGGCACACGAACCGCTCGACTTCTACGACTTCCTGCGCTATCTCCCCCTGCAATGGAAACCGGACACCCTGAACGGCATGGGACAGTCGGGCTGGGTGTGGCGCATGATCAACACCAGCGCGCCCCTTCAGGAAAAGATGTGCCTCTTCTGGCACCAGATCTTCGCCACCGGAGTCTCCAAGGTCGACCACTATGACGAGGTCATGGACATGGTCGACATCTTCCGTGACAAGGGCCTCGGAAAGTACCGCGACCTCCTGCGGGACGTCGCTCGCAATCCCGCGATGCTGTACTGGCTCGACAACCACGAGAACCACGCCACCGCGGTCAACGAGAACTGGGGACGTGAGCTCCTGGAGCTGTTCACCATGGGCGTAGGCAACTACACCGAGCATGACGTTTACGAGTGCTCCCGGGCCTTCACCGGCTGGACCATTAGCCCCAAGCTCCCCAGGTACCACATGGGACGCTGGGACTGGTACTTCGAGTATCGCCACGATGACCATGACGGCGGCGAGAAGACCTTCCTAGGGCATACGGGTAACTTCAACGGTGAGGACATCATAGACATCGTGCTGGCCCAGCTCGCGACCGCGAGGTTCATCGCGCGACACCTGTACGGCTTCTTCGTTGCCGACGAGGTGCAGGTCCCAGCATGGCAGGACACTCCACCTCGCGACCCGGAGGCTATCGCGATCATCACCGCCGCGCTGTCGGAGTCGGACTTCGACATGCGTCACACGCTCCGTGTGCTGTTCAACTCAGACTTCTTCAAGGAAGCTCGGTTCACCAAGGTGAAGAACCCCACTGAGGTCGTCGTGAGCACGCTCAGGATGGTCGGAGGCGCGGAGCTTCCGAGCCTGGACGTGTACGACTACTGCAACCAGATCACCTACATGGGTCAGGACCTGCTCAACCCTCCAAGCGTCGAGGGATGGCACTACGGCGCGGAGTGGATCAACAGCAGCTCGCTGATGAAGCGAGCCAACTTCGTTGCCGACATGGTCAGCCAGGTCGATCGTCCCGGGGTACGCGAAATCCTGGAGCGCGTCAAGCTCTCCGGTGGATCGCCGGAGTCTGCGGTCGATACCTGTCTCGACCTGCTCGGTCCGGTCGCGGTCAATGACGAGACTCGCGCCGAGTTGATCGACCACGCCCACGTTCTAGGCGAGTTCGCCTGGGACGAGGAGAACGAGGCCAAGTCGGCCCAGCGCGTTGCAGAGCTTCTTCAACTCATAGTCGCCACGAGGGAGTACCAGTTTGCGTGAGTGATAGGGTTCACGCCCCAGTTGATCGATCTCTTCGGCCCCCATGTAGGCTAGCGCTTTCAGAAGGAATCGAGACAATGCTCACGAAGATAGTTGCCAACCGCGTTTACGACTACAGCCATGTCATCGGAGACCCCAACGAGACACTGGAGCCGGTGGCCCTGGGCCGTCGGCGCCAAAAACGAGCTGTTCGCTATCGTCAAGGGAATCCTTGAGATCTCGCCCAGTGTGACCCGGTTCTCTCTGGGTTACGAACCGGGCGACGAGCGGATCGTTAACGTAATCGGCGGTGGATACGGTAAAGAACCCGGGCAGTTCGTCTGGCCGTCCGGCATCACGCTCGACTCGGACCGCAACATCTACGTCACCGACGCCTGGACGGATCGCGTGTCCGTGTTCACGGTGGAAGGAGACTTCATCCGCTCGTTCGGCACGGCAGGAGAAGGCGATGGCCAGTTTAGAAGGCCCTCAGGCATCGCCATTGACGACAACGACAACGTCCTGGTCGTCGATACCCTCAACGACCGGATTCAGAAGCTCACCCGTGACGGCAGTCTCGTTTCACAGTGGGGTTCCCGTGGCTCCGCGCCAGGGGAGTTCCGATCTCCCTGGGGTATAACGATCGACACCTACGGCTGCGTTTACGTGGCCGATTACAAGAACCACCGGATTCAAAAGTTCGACCCCGACGGCGGGTTCATGTTCGCGCTCGGCAGCCACGGAGCCGGCGCCTACGAGTTCGATCACCCATCCGACGTGGCGGTCGATCCCGCCGGTGACATCTACGTCTGCGACTGGGCCAACAACAGGGTGCAGGCGTACGACTCCAACGGGAAGTACATCACCACGTTCATAGGCGACGCGTACGAGCTGTCGAAGTGGCAGACTGAGTTCGTCCGCGCCAACCCGGACGTTCACAAGGCGCGCCGTCGGGTCTATTCGCTAGAACCCGAGTTGCGCTTCGCGCTGCCTATGGGAATCGCGTTCGACCACCACGGCTCCAGGCTCATGGTCGCCGACACTCAACGCTGGCGAATCCAGATCTACAACAAGCTGCTGGACTACAGCGAGCCCCAGTTCAATATATGAGGGCGGGGGACGCGGTCACATGCGCCTCGGCCCCGTCCAATCTATTGAGAATTGTGTCAGGCCGCCTATCAGAATATGCGTCTGCGCTCCATGGTTGAGCGCATATGGAGCGGTGGAACGTTGCCGTTGCGAATATGCGGGTTGAGCAGCAGCTTGCTCAGGGAGACAGCCGGGATTTTCTTGGTCAGGGCAGAACGTCGAAGTACTGGGCATTCCGTTGAGCCGGCTCAGCCGAGATTTCCTTAAGGATGGGGTCCAGAGAAGGGTTGCCTGTTTCTGTCCGGCCCAGAAGGAACAGGGACTCCATATCCGTGTCAATGCGAGACTCGAGTGAGAGTTCCGCTAGGACGGCGCCAGTGATGGCGCAGTTCAAATCCCAGCCAGCTACCTCATAGTGCGGAACCGCGCGCTCACAAGGTATAATCCGTTCAGTGACCGCCGTGCTGGAGGCAGCTGCCAGCCGGCGCTGACATGACTGACAGTCACGCACCAGGAGACCGACACATGGCGAATTACGATCCCGGATCAAATGCGGGACAGGCTCTGTCATTGATGGCCCACCTCATGCGCAGGGCCGGATTCGGAGCGACCAGGGAAGAGCTGGAGCGGCGCATCGCCGCTGGATACGAGGCGACCGTCGAGGACCTTCTCCACCCGGAGGCGCAG